GTTTTATTTCTCGACGGCAGGTGGACCCGGCGACTGTTACCTACGGCCAATCCAAAGGTCCACAATTATTATTGGCCGTAGAACGATATATAATTTTACAACTATTTGAATTCAAAAATTGATCATTTAACAGACTTTTCTTCTTTCGACATTCTACGGGTCAATGTCTCGTAGCGATAAACAAAACCGAACAATATCCACACACGATAATAAACAAATAAATGGCAAAGATGAAAAGATATAAAGGATTTTTTTTGTGTAAAACCGGAACCGTCTTAGGCCCTTTCAATCCAAAACACGACCTAAGCGGAAGAGTAAAAACAAATCGGGCTCCTCTCTTTATCTTATTGAACTGAATCGAAATAGAGTACGATTGCGTCATTGCCGTTCATAGCTGTCTTTAACAGACAAAAAATCCTTGGAGGGAAAACAATGCCACTGTCTTCGGTTATAATTGGAATAACAAACTTAAAGAGTCTCCAAATATTTTTTTACTTTCCGGCTTAAAAAGAATTTGTAGTTGGGCCGTTTCCGACCATACCGGTCCGCCATACTAGCTCAAACCCAACTCTCTACTTGGCATAAACCCAGTACGGCTCAAAAACGTACAACGGACCAAAATAACGAAGATAGAGAGACCAAAAATGATCAGTAACGACCGAACTAGAATTATTTTAAAACCGTTGACTTTAGTCTTTAGCGAAAACCCACCACAGCTGAAAAACGTCTGACAGACAAAATAACGAAGATAAGCGAACAAAAATGATCACAAACGACTTAACAATGATTATTTCAATAAAGTTGAATTTATTCTTTGGCGAAAAACCCAGCACAGCTGAAGAATGTCTGACAGAACAAAATAACGAGATAAGCGACCAAAAATGACCAGAACTACGATTATTTAATTAAGTAGAATTTATTCTTTGGCAAAAACAACATCACAGCTTAAAAAGTCTGGCAAAAAATGATCAGAAACGATAGAACTACAATTATTTTTATAAGGTCAATTTATTCTTTTGCACAACCCCCACCACATAAGGTCAAAAAGGCCATAGAGACCAAAACTACGAAGATAGGGAACCAAAAATGATCTGAAACAACGGAACTGCGATAATTTTTATAAAGTTGAATTTATTATTCGCCATACACCACCACAGGTGAAAAATGACATATCCAAACGATGAAGATAAACAGACCAAAAATGACCAGAAACGACTTAACAATGATTATTTCAATAAAGTTAAATTTATTCTTTGGCGAAAAACCCAGCACAGCTGAAGAATGTCTGACAGAACAAAATAACGAAATAAGCGACCAAAAATGACCAGAACTACGATTATTTAATTAAGTAGAATTTATTCTTTGGCAGAAACAACATCACAGCTTAAAAAGTCTGGCAAAAAATGATCAGAAACGATAGAACTACAATTATTTTTATAAGGTCAATTTATTCTTTTGCACAACCCCCACCACATAAGGTCAAAAAGGCCATACAGACCAAAACAACGAAGATAGGGGACCAAAAATGATCTGAAACAACCGAACTGCGATAATTTTTATAAAGTTGAATTTATTATTCGCCATAAACCACCACAGGTGAAAAATGTCTGAAATATCAAAACGATGAAGACAAGCAGAACAAAAATGATCAGAAACGACTTAACAATGATTATTTTAATTTTGTATTAATTCTTTGGCAAAAAAACCATAACAGTTTAAAATATGTGGCAGACGAAAATGCCTGTTTAGACAGGCAGACCAAAAATGACAGGACACGACCGAACTAAAATTATTTTTATACAGTGAAATTCATCCTTTTTTAAAAATCCACCCCAGTTCACAAACTCCAACAGTCCAATATAACGAAGTTAGGGAGACCAAAAATGACCTGAAACAACCGAACTGCGATAGGTTTTATAAAGCTGAATTTATTATTTCACTTTTATGTCCTTGTTCTTGATTTTGATACGATTCCGTATTTTACTTATCCGTCCATCAAATTGCGTCCAATGAATATATTTACTTTACTAGTCCATCAACGGCTTATTTGGCCTAACAATAAAATCGTCTTACTTGGACTCTACCCCAAGTACCAAGAAGCACGAATTCTATAAAAATGAGCTTCGATATACATTTTTTCCTGGAAGATCCTTACTTTTAATTTGGCCCGATGAGCATTTAAGAAAACAACGGTGAAGGTTTTTATCTGCCAGGTACACGGCACAATATGACGAAGGGATCGGCAGTTTCAGCAGGTTTGCCGGTCAGTTTACGTAAGACCCAGTATTTATTCTCTGGCAAATTATAAATAATCATCTCATAAACGACGCTAACAATTTAGTAAAACACGCATATAAATCATAATCAAATTGAAGGATGTTTAAAGTCGAAACTGTCCCTCGTGTCCCCGCAGCTGTAACAGGCAGAACGTTTCGGCTTTATTTTTCCAATTTCGTCAGCGGATCCTTTCAAAAGAGTGGACCAAATGGGATTTTTTCGATATATCAAAATCGGATGAGAGCCACACAACAATGGTAGCCCAAAAGGTCAGACGACAAAGTTTAAGGTTCTACATACCCGAAACTGAAGGACGCTAAAAGACGTGACAAATCGTTTGATTCCTAACAAAATAATCAATATTTTACGATAAGAAACTTCCGCAGAACCACACTCGGAGCCAGAACCAAAGAAAGACTTAATTACCAAGCTGTTTTATCGCATTTCGATCAATCCCTGGTAGCAATTTGGATTTTTAAGTAATAAAAAGCTCAATATCACAATAATATGTCAGGATTTTTGTTAGGAGCTCATTATCGTGGCAGTAAGTAATAAACAGCTCAATATCACAATAATAAGTAAGGTTTAGGCACCTATACAAAAAATTTCCAACTGAAATAATTTGGCCTTATAATCAATATGCCCGTATATATTTTGAATAGCTTGTTAGGGCTCCGAATGTTTTGGTTTATCCACTATTGGTTGCTACTTCCGTACAACCTACACTCGCGGCCAGAACTGTAGCATCAAAATCAAAACCAACCATCAAGTGTTTCTCGAGAGTAGTTTTTTCTCATCAAGGCCAAAGCTCTCAGGCTTATTAGATAACATATAAACTGAATTTATTTGGCATTATAGACCAATATATTTAATTGCACATTTATCCTACTACAAATGAGACTTGAGGATCGCACAGTGTTTTGGTTTATTCACCATTGGTTACTAATAATTATTGAACTTACGAATTATGGACTTCCGTAGAACCCACACTCGCGAGCAGAACTACACCATAACTATAACATCAAAACCAACCATCAAATGTTTGTTGCTTTCTTTTTATCTTGCAGGGGAAGATTTTTCTATTTTACGCAATTGATCGCTAATAATTATTAATATAAGAAACTCCACAGAACCCATACTCGCGGTCAGAACTATAGCGTCAAAACCAACCATCAAGTGTTTATTGCTTGTTTTTTAGCTTGCAAGGGCTGATTGTTTCTAATTTACGCTGAAGGGCTCAAGATTATTGGATAACCAATATCAACTGAATTTATTTGACAATATAAATCAAAATATTTATTTTACATGTATTCTACTGCAAATAAACCTCGTAAAGATCCCCTAGAATGTTGTACTTTATCCACTATGNATCAAATAAATTTATTTGGCATTATAGTCCGAAATATCTCATTTTATATGTATTCTACTTCAAATAAACCTCGTAAAGGTCCCCAAAGTGTTGTGGTTTATCCACAATTCATAATGTTAGGAACGTCCACAGAAACAAACCAGCCAGTGTTTGATGTTTTTTTTAGCTTGCTGAGGTAGTTTTTGAAAAATGAGTAATACCTTCAACTTATAGACCAAAATGTTTAATTGTACATTTATGCTACTATAAATAAGACCACACCCGACCGCATCTCACGATATCTGAATAACTATAAATAAGACTTTAAGATTCCCAGGGTGTTTTGGTTTATCCATTATTGGTCACTAATGATTATTAATATCAATATTAATAATTAATAGATATTAATATTAATTATTAATATTCCGTAGAACCCGCACTAACGACCAGAACTATAGCATCAAAACCAACCGCTGTTTGAACTATAACGTCAAAACCAACCATCAAGTGTTAGTTGCTTTTTTTTAGCTTGCACGGGTAGTTTTTTTCTAATTTAGGCTGAAAAAGTGAGGATTATTAGATAACCAATATCAACTGAATTTATTTGCCACATAGACCAAAATATTTAATTATACATTTATTCTACTTTAAATAAAACTTGCGAAGATCCCGAGAGTGTTGTGGTTTATCCACTATTGGTCAATAATAATTATTAAGATTAGGAACGTTCGTAGAAACCAACCATCCAGTGTTTCTTGTTGTTTTTTAGCTTGCGGAGGTAGTTTTTTGAAAAATGACGTAACTTGAAACGAAAATGTTAAATGTGACAAGCTAACCTCTGTCACATCTAACTGTCAACACGGGTTTTAAGAGGAGGAGGTGCAACACGAGACCCTTCCGAGAGGACCGTCCCACTGACTTCCTCAGCGGTGAAAATCGTCCGGGAAAGCGGAAACCATTGGGAAAGACCGGGAAAACACGTGGCCGAGTTCGGTTTGTACCTGCGTCGCTAAGATACAGAAGAAAGAGCGGCAAAATTAACAAACAAACCGGCCCTTTCACGGCGTTCTATTTTTCGAATGAAGATTTTTAACATGGACACCAAGACAGACTCGTCAAAAAGAATAACGAACGTGAAATTATTAAATCGTTATTCATTTTCAGCCTGTGCATACTGAAAACACAGGGATTATTTTCAAGTGCCATAAACAGTCATACTGAAAATAAGACGGTGTTTCCAGAGGGGGGCGTCCGGTCAAGGGAGAGTTAAAAAAAGAATAAGCGTCTTTAAAAAAAAAACTCTGTCTAAAGATTCTTCAGTGTGTTTGATGTGTTGGGACAAGTTAGATGAGATATTAATCAAAATGGTACTTACCGATAGAAAACGATTCCCTTCAATCTGGACGTTGAACAGTTCCGGGTAGTCAAAAATAAATCAAAAAGTGACCAGTGAAAAAGCACAATATACACCAATAAAAAAGAAAAATATCTGTATTTTTCTCTATATTATAAACAGCACAGCACAGTAAAAACCTTGTCTCACATTCCACAGGGAAGAAGGAGAAATAAAAAAAAGCAAAAATAATAGACGGCGTTTTGGGAAATGGTATCCGTGGTATTCCGTTGGTCCGGTCGGTGGATCCGGCGATCTTCGAACGGTTCGAGCGCCGGGTAAAGAACTGAGAGGGAGGCAGCCGTTTGTAGACTCTCGCCGAGAGAATGAGAGAGAGAGGGGGCTGAGAGGGAGCGTGTGAGGCAGCGGCGTGGTAGGGGCGAGGACTTGCGCGCCCGATCGAGGTTACCGCTTGACTGGGTCATCGGACGCCGTTCGGCCAGGTAGACGAGACCGACAGTCCTAGGCCAGGAAGAGGTGAGAGTACAAGCAGGACGTCACTCAAATTCAATTATTAAAAATTAACCATATGAAAATACCTACTGATGCAATACGCCCAATATACTTAGGAACAGTCGGTTCAAACTTGCAACTTCCTTGCTATGCAATTTGCATTTTGACTCGAAATTCGACATGTGGTGTTTTCAACGTTACAAGTATCGACCATTTTTGGTGTAACCTGGATGGCTTGAAAAAAAAATCTTCAGTTTTTTCTGCCTTTTTTGTCCTTGTTTTTCCAGTCTTTGGCAATGTTAGGACTGAGTCGGCCTTCGAGGAAATTTGAGATCGCTTGTAAACAAAAACGTTTTGCCTTGTTGATGGCCTTAAATTCGGTCGAAAGCTTGGAAGTGTCAATTGAATTTCATTTTTCTTCAAGACCATACCTTGATCCAGTGTGTTCCTGATGTGGTGTTTTGGCAATTACAAATATCATTTGTCACCAACGACGTGTTATCTGACTTCAAACAACCTGGAATTAATCTTCGTGAAATTAATGTTGTTACGTGACTTATTAAAAAAAACATGTTGATGTTTCCAACGCAACTGGTTCTTAAACGAGGGGAGGGGGCAACATCGCCCGTGAAATCTCGCGACCTTGGACGGAGATTGACAGTTTTACCAGCCGAATGTGATCTTCATGACACATCTGTGACCCACATATAACGTTGAAGCGGCTGTCTTCACTTTCAACTCTCAACAGATACACCGCTCTGACCTCGACGCAATGCCTCCTTGGTTTCTTAAGAACAAATTCCTCCATAGACTTTTCACGGGTTGAATAGGACCAAATGGATATGAACGAGTCCAAAACATGCCGATAACCTCATCTCACACCGACTGGAGTGTACAGATTCGCCCAGTCCGAGCAGGATGACCGACTTAAACGTGAAACGCAAACACTTTTAAACACCAGAGGTAAGGCGTCGGTGGAGCTGGATAAATAGCTTGAGAAAGAAAAACAAAAACCTTGGGCAAAAGCACCACCTGGGCAAAGAAACCAGAGGCGCACCACGCATATCCTTGGTGAATTTGAAGCACCATCCCGGATATTATATAGCCACTTCGGAAACGAAAATTTCATACCAAGAGAAGTGCACGCAGTGGTACCAAGGAGAGTACTTAGTTTTGTATGAAAAAAAACTTTCCAAAGTATGGTTATAATTTACTTTATATATCCAAAGTATGGTTATACTTCAGATACCCAAATTTCACCCTTCATTCCCTTTGGCTCCACACACACAATTCCACTGCCACATTCCCTTTGATACAGCTGTGCAATCCACTGATCCTGCAGTTGCTCCTATAACAGTAAACTCCGGTATTTTAAGGTAAATGAAAGAAAATGCCACCATATTTGTTTTACCATCCGAAACAAAACCTCTCACACAATATCCCTCAATAGTCATCCCATCTCTAAAATTGACTGTGTACTGCTACATTTGGTTCTACCTCGACTCACAACTAACGTGGAAAAGACACACCACTATAAAGAAAATCACACGTATCTCGTATACTAACGAACAGTCTACAAGACACTACTGAAACTAATTTGGAAGTATGCATTAGAACTATAGGGCTAAACCTTCCGATCCAAAGTAATTAGAAACTAAGTTTTTTAGTTGGATAAAAAAGTCAATGGCACGAGCGGGATTCGAACCCACCATCTTCGGCTTGATACGCCGCCGCTGCTCTACCACTTGAGCTATCGTGACCTCGATCCACTCGGACACCAACTTCCTATCTCAACCCCACCTTTTTGAATTTTCCCTCCTTTTTTGCCACTTTTCAAATGTCGTGTAATCGTGTTGGATTCTCGACGACAAATGAAATGGCCACGGAGAGCTTTAGTGAAGTATACTTCAGTTTTAATCATTAAATTCACTAATTTCCGCTTGACCAATTAATATACTACTTCGAATCCCGCTCGTCCCATTGACTTTTTTATCTCAACCAAAAACCTTAATTACTTGTAGTATATTAATTGGTCAAGCGGACCACGAAATTAGTGAATTTAGTAATTAGAAACATTTTCAATGCTTCCTACTTCGTCTCCAACACCATCCTTCATAATGAACTCCAAATACCCTTCATTAAAAGCCTAATAACGAAAAACATTTTTCCACGAAAAACCTAACCTCACAACCCGATCCTATATACAGGGTGTCCTGGCCGAATTTCTCTTGAACCAACGACTTTTTTAAAAAATTGTAAATTTAATATTTTTTAGTCAGGTTTCAAATTTTTACCTTTTTACCATAGGGTACGTCAGGCCCATTTCACCTTCCAAATTTCAAATACGACCCTGTACATCCTGACACATCATTTTAAACGATTTTTTACGCTGAAAACAATGGTGCTCTCTGATTTTAAGTCGGCCAAAAAATGACAAAGTTATGGCAAAAGTTTTGAAAATTAATTTGGTTGATTAATCACATTTCATGTTCGAACTGCCTGCCTTGCGTAAAGATGCAAAGATTTCCTTTTTCAACCACTCTTCTCCGGCATTCGGAGCGATAGAATCATCTGTTGTGTTATGATTGGCGTAACATTGTTTTTTTTTTTAATGACCCCACAGAAAATAGTCAAGTGGAGTTACATCGGGTGACCGAGGAGGCTAACACATCGGGCCATAAGGTCGTATCCACCTACCCCGGAAGTGACGATGCAAATCACGGCTCACCCGCACAGAATTGGGTACAGGGCATCCATCAAGCTGGAGAATCAATCTTTGTCGTTCTTACAGAGGAACATCATCTAACAGTGTTAGAAAAACCTCCCTCAAACAATTGAGGAACTGAGCACCAAAATAAATTATATTCGTAGAAATAAGACACAATTAATTTATTTCCGAAAAGCTCACATCAATCGTTGATACTGTGAACCACCTGATGATGACATAGTACGAAATTCTCGGATTTTCCCCAAAATTCCAACGGTTTAGTATGCCATTAGAGTTAAAATTAGATTCATCAGTACATAGAATGTGTGGAAAACGTTTTCTTCAGCCTCCCAAACCGACATTTGAGCAAGGAACGTTCGACGTCTGTCACAATCAGAGTCCCTAAGTCCCTAGACAAGAGAGAACGTTACGGCTTAAAATTGTAAGTCAGGAGTAAATCTCTAATTTTATTATCTGAAAACCCTGAAACCCTTCAACAGCAATTGTTCCGTATCTCTTTATATTGCGAACAACACGAATAAACGTTGTGGTTTACAGTTAATTAAGGTTTTTAGCTGAGATAAAAAAGTCAATGGCACGAGCGGGATTCGAACCCACGATCTTCGGCTTGATACGCTGCTAATCTACCACTTGAGCTATCATGACATCGATCCACTCGAACACTAACTTCCCTTCTCAACCCCACCTTTTGAATTGTCCCTCCTTTTTGCTTTTTTTTTATCTCAACCAATACCTCACTTAAAGATTAATTAATTGAAAATAAAAATTAGTTGTGGTTTACTCTGGGGCGATCAGGAAATTTCTGGGAGTGCAACTGGACTATACGATGCGCAATAAGACCACTAAAAACACAGCAGTCGTACATATCAACTCACTGTTGATCAGAAAAACGTGCTGTTCAGTTCATTTTGAATTGAATACTAAATGTAATGAATAGGTACTACAGTAAAATTTATTTACTTCCAGGAATTAAGATTTGCTCCCGTAATGCGAGTTTGGCAAACAATGACAGAATGTAAACAGTAAAGACAATTAATTTTTACTTCAGTGAAGAAGAAAATTATTGGAATTAACAACGAAACAAACGAAATGCGATTTTCAAACTGTTTGCCATTCCTTTTTCATTTTTGACCTATTTAAAATCCGAGTGCACAACTGTTTTCGTATTTGAAGTTTTTAAGTTGAGCTGGGCCTGAAATATCCTGTATAATGTTTTTTTCCCAAAAAAATGTAAAAATTTGAAACTATTAAAATATCAAACACTTTTTTTATGATACCGTCATTGGTTAAAAAGAAATTCAGCCGGTCCATGTAATAAAGACATCCTGTAAAATTGTAGTATTTTAATAAACTTTTCAGTAATTTTTTTCAATAAAGAATTTTAATTATCTTACTTATGGCATTTCAATACAGTAAATGGATAATTAGTAGTTTTATGACGACTTGGGATGATTGCATGCTGTAGTAATTAGAAGGCTTGGCCGAAACCCAAAACTCACACCGTAGGTCCACAGCTATTTTCGATCTAATGTCATGTGAGTTGTCTGTTACACTTTTAAGTCAAATATGTGTGACCCAAGTGGGATGTTTATCAAGGTAGAATACAAATTTTTCAACCTGTGATGTTCATTCGTGGTTCCATGGATAAGGGAATGTGGTTTGACAATTAGTGGGTGGTAATAAATGTTTTAATCCATCGCACAGGAAGTAATAAGACCTAAACTATCCTATGGCTAATTAATCTGGTGGGCTAAAGCTCAACAAGAACAACCAGCAACAAAACGCCTATCTGCCTGAGAAACACAATTAAACCTATCTTCATTGGTAAAATGTACAAAGAGAAGCTGTACTAAACATTTCGGGTTAACAACAATAAATTCCACACATGAAAAACCTATATGGCTTTTTCCGTCAAATTAATCCTTTTTACTCCAAATTAACTCTTTTTTAATTTCACATTAACCTTTTTTTTTTTTTTTTTACTTATGATCTTGCATATTAGCCATAGTACGAATTCTTGTGTGTTCAAATTGGGGGTTATCGGGAAAAAAGGGCCAGAGGCGACGGTGGGAATCGAACCCACGACCGCGGCGTGAGAGTCTCTCATGCTAACCACTCGGCTACCGCGGTCCCCATTTTATAAAATGTTAATTTAAAAAAAGGTTAAATTGAAATTAAAAGTGTTACATTGTAATCAAAAAAGGTTAATTTGACGGAA